AACACACATGGGAAACAAATTACTTTTATGTAGGATCAAGTTAAAAGAAGAAAAGTTGGTCCAGTCTTGAGCCATGTACACCAAAGGTAGAAAACACATGCGGCTGCTGGCGCAGAACAAACATGGTGCTTTGGTCATAAATACTTAATCTATCTTCTACATGAGGTGGATTAGATTAAAGAATTTCAAGATCCAAATGGAATCAAGGATAGAGATTCTTTTATCACCAGGGCAACAAGGGTCAAAACAATCAAACATTTTTTTTTGGTTGTGGGGGGCTCAAAAAGCATAGTGAAAACACACAACTTCATGGTGGCAGAAAAATTCAAGAATTCTATATCAAGGGTAAAACTGTATAGAATAGTTAATAAGTTGAGATAATTAAAACGATGGAAAGAGTATTACCGGCATATCTTTGTATTTTTTCTCCAAGAACTCCAGATCTGGCAACACATGCATACAATTTATACAACAATAGGTCCAGAAGTCTAGGACAACCACCTTTCCTTTCAAATCCTGTTCAGACATAAAAGTAATTCAGAACAAATGCTTTGATCTACTACAGGCTCTCCTAGGGTTCACCAGCATACAATAGTATAGTATACAACGTGTGAAAAAAGTACCAGAAAGGTGCAACACTATATAACATATTCCTTATTTGACAGGCTTTTAGAATGCAAAAGAATCGATTTTTATGAGCGGTAGATATACTTTCATAGTCAATGTCATACTTGACAGTAGAATCTCCATATCAGACAAAAGTGATGTACATAAGAAACGTATCAGCATCGGCCAACAAAATGCTTCCAAATAATGCTCTCATTATTTGTTAGATAGNTTTATCTGCCTATTTCAATTTAGGTCCAATCTGTTTGTTTGCTGATTTCAGTTCGGTTTGTTACCCCACGTGCAAGCCCAGGTCGCAAGTGAGGGTGTGAAGAGAGCTTTTATCCTACATTGAAAAATTAAGGGCACTCAAGCTTGGTTTATATAATTGAGGGGCTACTGCACCTATTGTCCATTGGTTTTGGGTTGGATGCTCTATCACAAAGAACATGTATACATGTGATATGTAACTAATTGCCATAGCTGGTCAACATAAAATTCAAGGTTATTGAGAATATATCAAACCAGACAAGGCCTGTGCATGGTTCAATGCAAGGCCTCTTCAGTAACTCCCTAGGAAGACGCCAATTAAGTAAACGANTAATTGCCATAGCTGGTCAACATAAAATTCAAGGTTATTGAGAATATATCAAACCAAACAAGGCCTGTGCATGGTTCAATGCAAGGCCTCTTCAGTAACTCCCTAGGAAGACGCCAATTAAGTAAACAACCATATTATTCATGTGCCAAGTAAGTGAAGGAAAGACAATAATCCTTCAAAAAGAACTGCAACAAAACTTTAGTTCTACAACACCTAAAACTGCATCAACAAACATCAAGGTCAACTTACTGGGTGAGTGATGCCATAGCGTAACACAGCATTGCGAATTGCTTCTAAGTCTTTCTCGTTGTCAAACTTTGCAGAGTGCACACCTATAACAGTGAACTGCAAAGACAAAACCACATATGAGACTACATATGGCTCAATAATTTGAATATTTAACCAATCAGAAATCAATCAGTTATAAAGCAGATGCAATATGCACATATGTTTGCTGCTGCAAAAGAAGAGCATCACCATAGAAAAGTTCTGACATGTTTCATGCACATTTGCGTAAGGCAAGCAGCACCATGGGAAGGTTCCATCATAGTTGTCAGTGGCACTTTTTGATTTTGTCCTATATTCACCCTGATCTTGCCACGCTAATTTAAAATATTTGTCATTCCATGTTATGACCACAACACAAGTCCAATAACTTTTCAACTGTGTATAGGCCGCAAGTTTAAGCGGGCTGACAAAAGGCTAGCTAAATTACATATAGAATTGACAATTGGGCTCAGATTTCAAATTGGATTGGCTGGCCCTAGGCCAAAACTTACAACCAAATGAAAATTTATGGACTGGGAAATGGAAACTGGAGTTAGGACTCATTAAGGTTTATCTCAGAACTGATGTTTTTTCTTTTCGTTCAGAATATAGGTTTATTGTTGATATCACTTTATCTCAGAACCATTTCTTCTACTTTCAGTAATGGAGTACAATTACATGAGATTATGGGTCCTCGTCAAAAAACCATTTCATTAAGATTGCATCATAGTGGAGTATTAGAATTTTATAATTATCAGTATCTTATTCTATTTTATATTTAGGAATGAAAGTAGCACACCGAATGTAACACAAAACAGAAAAAGTCTTCAACAGGTTATGTAACAAGAGACTGAATAAGTTTTTGACAGAGTATGAGACAATAATGCCTGCCACTTCATGGTGGCTAGTGCTCTAGTGATAACTTGTTAATGCTATGCACATTTTTCTAACACTGTCACACGTATTAGTAATCATGAATTTGTGTGAAACAAAAGTTTCGTTATACCGCCACACAAACTTATGAAGCAAGATTAAGGAACAAACAACACAGCAATAAAGGTAAATATAGGGAAACAAAAACAAAAGTACGAACATCACCCAACTGAAATNAGGGGAAATGCTTGAATGGGTGACACGAAGTACCATGACATACATGATCACGTGTACAACGCTCTGAATATTGTTTCATTTCCACCAAAACAACTGAAATATTTCCATTTTGTTGGGAACCAAATGAATTGGAGATGGAAAATCAAGATTCCCATGTTTTGGAATGTGTCGGTGTGTTTCAGAATGACTCAACCAATGTTTAGGATGCGGCCCATCAGGTCCAAGGCAACAAAGGCCACCATCAAGATGGCAAGGGTTGCTGCCCTTTCCTTACTAACCATACTTTGCTTCAAATTCAGTGGGTCAAACTCAGGCATGTCCTTCAGCTCTGGATTCAGAATTGCCGCCACTTTGGACGCTGCTACTAGAGCAAGTCAAGCCAGCTAATAGATTCCAAATTTTACTCTATTTCCATTATGTTTAAAAACAATTTCGAAACTTTTCGGTTCTGAGCTAACCAAAACTCTGCACCAAAACGAAATTTCTATCCTTCCTCGTTACAGTATAAGTAACAAAAATAATATGGATAAGAGGAGGACCCATGAATACCAGCTAATTATAGAAATTAGTACTAAAGAACCACAAAAAAATATAATGGGCTTACCCTGCGTAGCTGAAGGGGAGCTGTATTCAACCAATCAAGTTTAGATGGAAACTCAGGCACAATGGTAGCAGAACCCCTTACACAACGAGAGGGAGTAAATTCAAATGGATTAGACAAAAAATTTAAGAAGAGCATAAAAAGTGTGTATGATTGCTGCATATTATAGAGCATACACACTATATCATTCAACAAAAGGCTAGTCATCACACGGTGGCCTCCTCAATTCTGAGCACAGAAGGATTCAAAATGTCTTGTACATCACAAAAACAAGGAAGGGGGAGATTCTCATTTACCTGGCTTCCAAATCAGATATATAGCTCACAAATTGTTGGATCCTTGCAGAACGGGATTTGTCTGCAAACAGTAAGAGCAGAAAAAATCTCTTAATTCTGCTATTATTTTAAATCCCAAAAAATTGTAGTTAATAAAACAGGATAAGAATCAAGATAAAATGTTCAATGTTAACTTGTTTAAAAATAAAAGAACACAAAAAGAGAAAACAAGATGCACAATCAGAAAACATATATGCCACAACCAGATAAATATTTCATCACACATATTGGTACCTTCATTCTGTCCAAAGGGAGGACTGCTCACTCCAAATATCAATTTCCATATAGCTTTTGGAGTTGCATATTTCATTGCCTGCAAAGGTTCAGTAGCTTCCAGAGACATATCTTTATGGCAACAATCAAATCAAAAAATATCAAATATCCTCTTTGCTTTCAGATCCCAAAAAGATGCTGTCTTTAAAACAGATTCATAGTTTAAGTCTCCAATGATCTTGTTTCTCACATAACTTTTACCTTCCAGTTTGTAATGGTGAAAAAGAGACAAGATACAGCAATGCCCAAACTTCCATATCGTACAATATCTCGCCTTGAAACCTGCAACCTGTCCGTAAATTATTTCTCCCAATCTCAAGATAAAGTTGAACCAAATGCCTAAAATATACTCCTTGGGTAGTACTTGAGATACTTATGCAACTGAAATAAAAAATACCTTCCCTACATACCTACCCAAGAGATATCCAGCACAAAGAATAGTGTTTTGGAAGGTTGGGATTTTGGTGTGGCAAATTGTAAATAGAATAATATTATTCTGGATTTGTCACTACATTTGATCTGTGTCTGGGACTCAAAACACAATGGAAAAGAGTTACTTTAAGATATTGTAACATGGGTAAGAGGGTGAGAACTGTGAAAAAATGAATATTAAACCTTTGAATAAAAAATGAAAAGGGTTGTGACTTGTGAGAGGTTCTGTATGAAAAGAAAATTAGAAAACAGAAATATAAATAAAGAGAGAAGGAGAACATACTCCATGAGGGCTTGTTCGATATCCGCTCTATACCAAATACAAAAGTCCCACTAGTTCTATAACCAGAATAATCATTTCACTTTGCTCTTGACTCATGTTAAAGAAAGGGCACTTCTTTTTCAAAAAGCTTGAAAAGACTTGAGGCAAAACTTTTACAAATTACCTCCCTAAAGAAACTGCTATAAATTGCTTGACTTGAATAATACAGTAGACACAAACTTCCAAAAAAATATTAGGAGATTTTAGGCAACTAAAGTTTGATTCGACCTAAGAAAAGTTTTTTTAGCGATACTTGAGTAAAATATCAAAATCGAAGTTTAGTAGAAAGATTTAGGGTGGCATATAAGGAGCATATGATCTGTCATCTGCAATTTGCATATAGCATGTACTTGGTTGGTTGGAAGTTGCAGCAGAATATTGATCTACAATCAGTTTTTTAGAATAAGGTATATAGAATGTGATGCAGATTGTATTAGTTCTAATACCAAATTGATGTAGATCGTATTAAAGAAGAATTAGGGATGAGAAGGAAAGAAGAAGGAGATGAGAGAAAAAGAAGGGAATAAGAA